AATAACAAAAAACATACATAATGAAAACCAAAGTTTAGCGTACCGTTTAAACTAATTTACCATAGTTAATTTTCATACTGCTTAGAATTTCTCGAACCCCATTTAAGAATTGTATTGAAATAGAACACCAGATATTTCTCCATTAATTGTTATGTTGAATAGCAATACTAATATGTTGATATTTGTATTCGCATCGTCGGTATTTGTTTTTGTTATTGATTTATATTATAGCACATACCTGGTAAACACTCTTAGGACACTTACAAATATTAAATCAAGCATTGGTAATTGGATTAGCAGTCCAGGAAGCGGGCTTGAAAGTGATTATTATAAGTTGCAAGAACTTGTTTCGCAATCTAGCTACAATAAATAGGTTGAAACTAAAATTAAAAATACATTTTGGTACATGCGATACTAGTTTTCAATCTTGATTTATTTAGAAAATGAGGGCTGTGTTTTCAAATACTTGTTATGTTCTCTTGTTTGAAATGATATTTTGTTTTTAATCAATTGCATTCTGCTCGCATTATTATTTTGTATCTTTCTTTTTTATACTTTTCAATGATTCAAGTATTTTAAATGTATCACATACGTAAATATATTTATCACACACCCGTGCCGATTTTGCGACTCTGTAAATATGGTATTGCACGGCCGTGCATATATTTTTACGTGACGTCATTAGCGTTAACAAACATAGTGTAAAGACGCGCTAAATGATAACGTTATACTATGGGCGCGTCAATGAAAAATGACTTTTATTTTACTTTAAACGGTCTTTATTTTGGGTATGTGATAAATAGAATATTAAATTCGTGTAAGTTCATTACTGAATTTATTGCAATCGTTGAATAAAATAATATTATGCTCGCCAGAGGCTCGAATAATATAATTTTATTCAACTCGTGCAATAAATTCAGTATTGAATTTACACTCATTCAATATCCTCTATTTAATATACGCCATTTATTTTATCCATTGCGATAGAAATATTACTATTCGCACTGAATATGTCAATATTGTATATTTGTAAAACAATTTATAAACATGTAAATTATATGCAATATATAAAAGAAGAGCAGTGGGACGATAACATTAGAGGTGTTTATTGAAAAATCGAATTGATAAATGTCCAGAAGACAATAAAATGTGCAACATCTTTCACGGTGCCTGATTGGCTTCAACAGTATTATTATTATTATTATTATTATTATTATTATTATTATTATTATTATTCAGTTTATATCACTATATGAAGTTTCAAATTACTAAGAACTACAGACTATTCTCATCTTAGTGTAATTATTGAATTAGTCCTTCTAAATGTAATAGCAGTTGATCAGTAATTGCACTAAGGTGACGAAATGGTCAATTTGACTTAATAACTTACAACAAAGAAAACGAACTTTGTTCAGCTAAATTAAATGTGGCCCGTACCTTGATTAAAAGATTTCCATTTTATCACGTTTATGCCAATATAGCATATTCCTAAACTTATCAGAAACCTTCTTGTTTCGTTCATTTTCTCCGATTTTTTAAGTCTTCAAAATATCGTTATCAATAAAGAAAGGAAAACTAATAGAAGAATTTCTGCAATCTATTATGTTTTCATGTTTGGTTTTTGTAAAAATTTAAACTTGAATGAACCATGTCTTTACCAGTTTTGTGTTTTTGCTTTAAACATTTTTATTTTCTCTTTTTCATAATAATTTAGCAATAGGCAATGCAGATACAAATGCCACACATGCATTAAAAGGAAGAAATATAAAATACATAATTTGACATTTGTAGCACAAAAGAGCATGCATTTCAGAAATATCGTTGCTGCAAACCAGTTACATCATTCTTTTGTTGAAAAAATTTGTAAGTTTACAAGAGATGGTTTTTTGATCTGCCATGTTTTAAACTCTAAACTGCGAAATACAGAAACTTGTCCAACTTTAATCTAGTTAAACTTAAAAGCATTCACAAATGTTTTAAAAAGCGAGAAAAAAATTCCCGTGTTTGAAATAGTTAAAGAAAAAACACCGTGCGCGATAAATTTACCTAAACACTTTATTTAAGTTTGATTAAAATACACCATATAAACAATACAGTTGTGTATGATCTCTTTATTTCAGAATGCTAAAGTTAAATACAAACGATCCAATGCAACGAATTTTTGTATTGCGGACGCGGAATGTCGCATCATAATGACATAACTAACACGAGTATAATGAAATACTAGTATTTCTGAAAGGTGTAGTGCATCGAGCTGAACACTCTTGCTGGTGGAAAAACATGTACATGTACATTTGTATTATTACTACAGTTATGTAATTTATTATAATAAAGTGATTTTTAGCAGTTGCATCTTTCATTTGGAAGGATTAATCTTTGGTTCTTGGGTCTACCATGTTTATACTCAAATGCTAAATTTTACAAAGTATTTTTTGTCATTTTCTTAAAGTCACCATGGATCATTTTTATAGATACATTTTGATTAATGTTTTTTTTAACTATTTCGATATAAAAAAGATGAGATGTTTTGTGTAAGTCGGTGAAAGAAGTGTTTTCCGATTGTTTTACCGAAAGGTTAATTCATAAAGAACTCTTGTCAACTCCATTTTTAATACATGTTGTAAATAACTGTTAACAAAATAAAAATGTTATACTATTAATCAATAAGAGGGTTGTGTAAAAAATATGTTGACTTTTGATATAACTGCTACATTTGACGTCAAAGGACTTTTAAACTTAATTTCAATGTAAGCATGGTTGCGGTTCAATCAAAAATATATTCTAAAAATGACTGCATTTTATATATACTTCTTACCAAATTTATGCAACTTTTGCACAACTCTCATATTAGTTCTCCGGTGCATTTGAATATTTTGATATATGTTTACCCGTAAATAACGTATTTTCTGCCAATAAAATGTGTTGCTGACATAAATTTGTAATGTAATATGTGGGCCTGCCGGAATTGCAAAATATGCTTACAGGATCAAATTTTGCGTCTACTTACGGTTATCTTTCAGGATGTCGAATGAAAATTTGCTAAAAAATTTTGTTTACACAAAAATCGAAAAGACGTACAGTCTTCAGATGCTTGAAATGTTTTCGAAAAATATGAGCGAAAAAGGGTGTTTGACAATAAGCTTCCCTCACAGCCTTCAATTATTATTCCGACATCGAAGAAGCTACACGAAGCACAACTGTTTTGATCATCTTGTATGATAAACTAGGCATATTGTGGGCAGGTTCATAGGAATTCGATTTTAGGAGATGTTAATGTTTAGGATTGTTTAATGCTTTGTTAAACATTGTTTAAGGTGTCACGACGTGCCGTCGTTATGTAAATCCGGTGTGCCTCTATTTGCTCCGGGTTGTATTTCATTTATATTTTATATGTTATAATATATTAAATTGTTTTGCATTTTGAACCTGCAATGAGATTATTTTAATAATTTCATAGAAAAAGCCTTCATATTGTTCTATCACCCTCGTACACTTTTATAGAGCATTTTTTTATTGACCCCACATAAAATTTTGTCGGTAACAGTTGTTGTAAGTTTTGTATCAATATATATTATAAAGCAAACTCTTTTGTTTGAAGAATTTGTTTTGCAAACACCTAAATGAAATTCTTAAATACTGTACATGTGCAAATAACAAAATCTTCAGTATTATAAACTACCATTCATATTGTATATGTTACTTTATAATGATAAAACTCTAAATCAGCCAAAGTGCTGTTGTATAGATACAACCTCTTGCAAATTGTTTTTATTGTAAATTAAGAGACAAATTTCATCAGTCCATTAAATACTTCTTTAGATGCTATAATTGAAAACTCAGGAAACAAAGCTATATTTATTGAACAAAACCATTTATAAATGATGATTTATTAAACGCATTGAATGTAGGCAGTATAAAAGAAATAATTTTAGAGAGGAAGAGGTTCACCAAGGGCAATTGAAATAAACAGTACAAAATACTGCAGATACAAAAAATGAGCTAAACAGTACCGGTAAATACACCGCAGCCTATTCCCTAAGCAGTTACCCGAGGAGCGATTTGTTGTGATGTTATGAACTTTGAACAGAGTAATCGCTGTTATGGAATACTTATCATGCCTCAGCATGGCGTCACATCTCGAGAAATTCTGTTGGCAAATAGGACACTGGCTCATTGTAAAACAAAAAATGTACAATACTGTGTTTGACATATAAATTGAAACAATAATCCTTCTTACTATGAACACAAACACTACTACTACCACCACCACCACCACCGTAAGTTAACAAAGTTCTAGTATTTAGTTTAATTGCCCAATGTCTGTGTAATTTGAAAAACAACGCTAACAAACGGTATTTCATTACACAATTGGATACCTGGGTTTAATTGAACTTGACATAGACCCCGAAATGGATGTTTACGACAATTTAACTAAAAACAACGCTTACGAACGGTATTTCATTACACAATTGGATACCTTGGTTTAATTGAGCTTGACATACACTCCGAAATGCATGTTTTTGTCAATCTAGCTAAAAATAAAAACAACGCTTGAAGATATATTTAATTATTGACAATATACAAATGTTTCAGAGGAAAATAAATATCATATCTGAAAAAACTTCACGAAACTAGAAACACTCTTTGCATCCATTTGAAAACTGAAAATGTTTATAAATCTTAAAGAACTAAGCAATTTTTAAGGTAATTAAATACCATACATATTGACAAAACACTTTTCGCATTACACCACCTTCGATACATAATGAATGAACATTGAGAAATGTATGTTTGCAACAAAATATTACCCACTTTATCTTGCACATCTCGTAAAAGCTTTCATGAATAAATATCTAACCTACCTTTAACCAAATCAATATAAATCAACTAAACAGCATCGATGAGATACGTTATACAAATGAAATATCACGCTATATATTGTTTGTACAGGATAGCCTTGCTTTATTTTGTATCATTCAATCAATGATACTGAAGAGGTTTTTGCATAAAGTAATATAATGTTTATAAAGGGTTTACAAATTAGGAGAAAACATTCGCTAAGAAATATTTTCACTATTTATAAAGTTTTGCTAATTCTATAAAAAAAAATAATCTGTAAGCAAAACAACAACATAAGGTATCATTTGGAAAATATACCAATGGGGTCGATTATATTCATTATAATAATAGGAAATGCGGTTGGAGCAACGTTTGGACAAACATACAAGGAAATGGACTCTTTGTTAGGACATCTCTTTGATGAGAAAAGATATAACACAATGCTTAGACCTCTCCTTAACCAGACTGATGTTATAAAGGTAAGTGGATCAGTTTTCTTTTTTATACAAGTGAAAATTTGATATCCCGAGATGATTTTGGTTTACAATTTAAATTTGCTTGTCTGAATTGTTGTCTTTGTTACTGGATTGAAGACAAGAAACAAAATTTAGGTCGTTTTCAATGGTGAAATCTTTTATTGCTTTGTTTCAGGTAAATTTGACACAATTTATAAGTAGCATCGAATATTTTGACATCACAACAGGAGAATTGCTTGTCAACGGGTATTTTGAAATAGAATGGATAGATGAAATGCTTAAATGGGACCCAGATCTGTATGCAGGAAAGAAACGAATAATGTTACCTAGAGGAAAACACTGGAAACCGAATTTTTACCTCACAAATGGACCAGCAAATGAGGAATCCTCAGTTTATGGGAGCGGATTTGCACCGGCATGGGCCACATATCAAGGATCGGTAAGGACTATTCCGGCTGGAAGTTATAAAACAAAATGTAATGTTAACACTTCGTTTTACCCATACGATATGCACACGTGTTACTTTAAATTTATTATCTCCAACCATGATGATACAGAAATCATGCTTAACTCACCAAGTACGGATATTATCGTTAGTGATTTAAAAGAAAATGGAGAATTGGAAATAAAGGGTACCAATATAAACATTTTGCTACTGAAGGATAGCAACATAGAAAATGTGACAATGCCAATGTTTCAGTCATCGTTTGCGATAAAAAGAAGAGCAACGTTTGAATTAGTAAATGTATTTATACCTTTTACACTTATGTCTTGTCTAAATATGGCAACATGTTTTGTATGTCCAAGCTCTGGAGAAAGATTAACATTTGCGATAACGCTGTATTTGTCATTAGTTGTAACTACAACAGCTGCAACTGAAAGAATTCCTGAAAACTCTTTAAAAATACCTTACCTGTCGTACCAGTTTCTTGTATTAAATTGTATCAACACTGTTGGAGTGCTATGGAGTATATACATCGTAAATTACGCAGGCAAACCAGCAGTGCAATATCTCCCGAATTGTTTGTTACGAATAGTGATGAAGCGGAGAAAGACAAAAATATTAAATGAGGAGGAAGAAAATCACCCTATTCCCGCACACGAAGTAGCCGAAGCTCTTGATAGAATTTATTTTTGGGCTATTGTTTCGTGCATTATTGTTGTTGATATTACATTTGTTGGATTTACGTTCAAGAGCTGGTACATGTAGGCTTTGAAAACTGTATTAAAGACTAATCAATCTTTTGTAGAATTTTCTTCAACAAAGATTAATTTGTATTTAATGTTAGTTGCAGAATATATTATATTTGACAAATGGACGATTGTGGATATTATAACAATGTTAAGTTCAATGTAATTAAACATACTTTTTAAATGTTTCTATTGTAAACAAAAACCGTTTTTATTATAATATAAATAACTGAATGCATCACAATTGCACACTCCTACAATTTCATTACAATTTTAATTGCCACATTTTTTTTTCGATTTTTTTTGCAGAACATAACGTACTTTTGTGTTTACATTAAATTGATTAGTTTTTACATCTACCCCCTTATAATGCATGCCTGTTTAATATCATTCAAAGAGTATGCTTCAGGTATATCTATATATCTTTCACTATGTAAATTGATTTACTTGAAATTTATGAAACATTTCACTTGAAACAATTACAATGTTGCTTCATTTCTGTTCTTTGAAAGCTATCAATTTTAACAAAGCTGCTTTTATATCAATCATTGAATATAATTAGTCATCATGAAAAAAACTGAATGGCCATATTTAAATATTTAAAGATCTTCGTAAAATGTGCCTCTTTTTCGTTGCTGTTGATGTTGTTGTTGTTGTGTCTGTTGTTGCCTTAAAGAATAAAAAAGTAGAGTAATATTGACTTTATTCTCGTTGATAAATTCACCATTGATATTAATAAAATGCGTTAATCTTTTATTAGACGGCGCGTGCACGCGCCGTCTAGTAGATATACATTTGTCCGTATAGCAATGGAAAACATTTTAGATTTGATTTTGTGCATGTTTTTGTTTTAACAAAATCACATTGTTTTCAAATTTTCTAATAAAAATAGCTTTTCTGATGCACAACACGTCACAGAGCTTTAAGGGATTAAAATAAACGTTTAACTGAAGTGAAAGTGTCATGTTTGAATATCATATTCTTTTTATAATTATCTACTTTTATCTTCTTAATAAATAACGTGCCAATGAGCCAGTCTATAGTCGATCGTTCTTAAACTTAACCGTTGAGAGAGGTAACGACTAAAGCAGTATCACTCACTTCATTTGCCTCTGTTGAAGTTCGTCTCCGCCTTAAATTGTCGCCAAACATTTAGTCTTCGTTGACGGCGGTGGGGGGAGGGAACCAGGACAATAATGACCAATATAACTTGACGAATTACAAGTTACAAAGCCTAAACCACGCCCAGTATCAGAGAGGCGGTTCTCCCTGAACCCTTAACTCAACACAGACCCGTCTATAGTCTAATGACGGGAACAGAGCAAGAGGTATCACTAAAATACGCAACGGAGATTATTTTGGCGCTACGGACGCAGCGGAAATATTTTTTGCAAAACAGGCAAAACGTGTGCGACATGTAATTCATTAAAATAATTAACATTTAAGTTATAAAACAGATTAACTGAGTGAAAAAAGTACGATTATTTTAAAATGTATCACAAATATTTGCAATAGGTTACTTTGAAGGATTCTGTGATCGACGATTGTTCTCTTTGCCTAGATTTTTAATTACATTTTGTGGTCCCATACCTAGATTCTAGGCGACTATGCAATCGCACCAATATTTAAATGGACATATTCTTGGCACATATTGTCTTGAATTTATTTTAAGTTTACCAATCATTTCAATTTCACTTGTTATCCAATTTATTTTGCTTCGACCAGACGTTTCAATCTTTGTCGCTACAGACAAACATTTCAGAATTTCAGACACATACAAATAACATGGAGAAAAAATTAATTAGTGCTTCGGATATTCAACTGTTATAGAGAACGATTTTCAATTCTGATTTTGTACATTACTTGTGACTGTTCACATCAATTGGCGGCGTCTTTGATGTGCAGCATCAACATTTAACTTGTTATATTTATTGATGTCTTTCAACTGGCAGACTACGGCTGTAGCTGTCAATTACCTCCCTGCAATCCTATCTAATTATTGTGTAGTTAACGCTGAAAAACACCAGATTGGAATAATTCTAAAAGTTTAAAATAGCTAGCTTAATTGATGTCGAAAAAAACAGAAACAAAAATGCAAACATCTATTGAATTTTATTTTGGTGTGTGTTATTTACAATTCTGTTTTCTTTTTTTTTTTTCGATTCAATTATATGATTCACTTTAATTCAGCAAACTTTAAGTTATTATATACCATTGACCTTTCGCATTAATTTTTCTTGTGTTTTTTCGACTTAGATAATATGTCATATGGCATATTTAAAACAGATAAATTTTACTCAAAACATGACGAAATTTAAAAGAAAAGCAAAGAAAAGTTAATACTAGATTAACAATAAAAAATTTCAGTACAAAATGTTTGACTGTGTCAGGTTTCGGTGTGCCGACTTAACTGTCCCTTTAAGTTTGTCTTTATTGTTATTTTATTGTTAATCTTTAGCGAAAATATTATTTTTATGTGTTTCTTTTTCTTTTTTTTACGGCGATTGTATCACATATTGGTCATATATCGGCTTTGCTGGACTAGTTTCTAAATTATCCGCAAATGGTCGACTTCTGTGACATCCATATGTTTGGTTTCAGACAATCTATTTGTAGCATCACAAAAGTATACAATTAATTAAACATTGAACTTCATTAATTACATTATCGTATATACTTTGAAAACTGTTTGATGATAGACTGATTACTGATCTTGCTTGTAAAAACAACAAAATTAAATAATATGGCTTCAACCTGCCACTAAAATACCTATAAGTGTTGTGATTTGTCATTACATCTGTAAGTTTGAAGTCTTAGAATAATTAGAAGTTAATGTTATATGTAGTAAATTGACATTTATATCTGCAGTCAGACTGTTTAAAGCCCAAAAGGACATATACAATGGATTATGCTCATATAATTAATGTTTATGAGGAACAAGTTTTGATTTACTCTTCATTTATCTTTTTGAATTTATTTCTTCCTGTTTGTTGATATTGTAAATTAATACATTCTGTACTTAATAAAAAAACTTTGTTGTAGAAATAAGACTGTAAAAGTTATAACGAATTTTTGCATAATAGAAATTGTGCAAGTATATTTTTAATAAGAGAACATTCTATAAATAAAGGCCATATTAATAACGTTAAGTGTTACATTTACTCACCTGAGGAAAGGTACCGAGGTTCGCATTTTTAATATCTTTTAGTTCCTGGTAATGGAATTCTGCAGATACACATGTGTACAAAATGAGAGTGTTCTTGTCGAAAGGACAAACCTAATACTTAATGATAGCTTTCATATTATTTCATATTTAATGTTGAATTACAATGTTTTTATGTTTTTAAAAAGACGTTATTGCTGTATGTTGCGACTTAATAATTTTGTAGCTGTTGTCTAACCACTACATTGAAAAATAACACCTTCAGAACGTAGTAACACGAATACACGCATGCATACAATTATCTCTAGTATAACATACATTCCCGTGTAGAAAAAAGTGAATGTAAATTTATATCACGAGTGGCACATGTTTTTTTTTTAATTTTAGATATATTCCTTTGCTGTTTCATATTATTTTACCTAGCGAGTTGTTCATAGTTTTACCGGTCACAGGGAGGTAATTGTTACAGGCAAAAATCAGTTCTGTTTATTGAATACATATATGTATGAATTGCCTCAATGAACAAACACCATGGTAATAATATTGATTCATTTGGTTAATATTTAGTATCCAAAAAATAAATTGCCATGACAATTAGCATTATAATTTGTAAAGCATGAAATGATTTTTGTGTGTTAAACAAAATGGCACTTGTTAGAACTATTGCTTTCAATCTGATTAATGCATTTTCTTGTTTGAAAAGCACGTGAGTTAGTTAGTTTCTTTTACTATCTTCATAAGTGATATTTATCACATTTATAACAGTGACATGCGTATCCCTTTTGTTACTTTATACTTTATTTCTTGTTCTTTACTTTTGATCTAACCATGTTCTTACATGGACTTGCATAGATTACAAATAATGTATTTTTCAGAGGTACGGGTGGGGGCACAGTATTTCATTTGTGAACAATAACCGCGTAATTGAAGAACGGTGTGTCATTTTATTATAGAAATATTGTGTTTTCCCAAGGTTATATATTAGATTGAGCGGGCTTTGCAGTTTATTCTATAAAAAATGAGATGTTAAAAATGTTACGAAAGACAATATTACCTGGGCAGTCTCTTGCATTAGTATTTCGCCCCATCAAGATCTTAAAAAGACACATCGTACAGGTATCATTTCATGGGTATTAATTATATGTATCACTGAAGGTCACTTAACATTTCGTCACTTCAGTACAGTTATGGGTTTACTTCTTATAAAATTTAATAGATGTTAACCTGTTACTGCATAAAGGATACGATCATTGATTCCAACACTTTCAAGTCTCAAGTTACCTCTGATCCCTTTTCAAAATTCCATTTTATTTAGTTTCGCTAATTGTCTTCTCGTTTAGGACAGACGCATTCTTTTACTTAAGTGTCTACACGCCGTTTGTCATGGAATGGCACGAAAGTGTCAAATTGAAGGTTTCACTCTAACCGCCGTATAAACACATCTGCGGATGTTCTTAATTCGAAATTTCACCATTACCACCATTTGAAATTGAATTCTAGTTAAGCCGGTGCTAGGGGACGTGAACGGTACCTTGCACTTTCCTATACGGCCCATGAAAGTTCAATCAAACCGAGCCTGCAACATTAACAGTTTTGTCGGGCTCACACTTTTCCAGATTTTAACCCATTACTTCATGAGCATTTTGTGAAAAATGGTTGTTTTCATTGAAAAGTCTCCCGTTACAAGTTCAAATTGCTATAAAACTATACAAAAACTGCTTCAATACTAATCAAACTTGGCACAAATGTTGACTGGACCATTGCCTTTGCAACAACATGCTCAGAATTAAATTTTCTGTTACCATGGCAACGAGGGGGCATCTCAAAATTGCCAAAAAATCACTATTTTGCGTTGATTTTTTCCATCAAAATTGATTTCAAAGTGCTGCAACTTCTCAATGGATTGAGATAGAGTCAAATGCTTTTCAGCGTTGGTTACACGTTACCTTATGATCGATCTTGGATCATTTTAGCCTCTAACAAGTCCAAAATTTATTGGCGATTAGGGGGACTGCCGCCCCCTTCCACCCCCCCCCCCCAAACAGAAGAGGGCACATCCCCCTTCTGGCAACCCCCTGATGTATCTTTTGGTTGATGGCCGCGCCAAAAAAGTTGTCACTTTTTTAACAACGTTTCTCAAACAAAAACAAGTGTTGGGGGCCTAAATAAGGCATTTTTTCACCATTTGAGACAACAAAATAAGGGGGGTGAAAAAGGCGTTAAAAGGCGTGTATATCGCGTAATTGGTTAATGTTTTATATCATGGACACCATATGTGTGATTTTGTAAATTAACTTGCCTTTATGCACCTTTTTGTCTACACACTGTCAAGTGTTTCTTGGTAAAATGCCTCAAGATCAAATATTTTATAACACCTGTATTTGGAACCAAAGATCGAGTAGTATTATTTTAAGACAAATTGATAGCCTGTTTTCACTTGAAAGTAGTGCAGGAATTGCAAGAGTCTTTTCTAATTTTCTGCTTATCATAATTGAGTTGACAAGGGCTTGAAAATGATTAATAAGCTAGTTATCTGTCACTCTCCTGCGCATCGGTCAAATGTTTCACTATCGCTCACTTTACCTGAAGTAACGGGGTGTGTTCCGTGAGCTACGAATCTTAGGAAATATATGACATAGTGTCTTTTAAAGATATACTATGCTCATCTTTGGGTAAAATATTTAAAACATATTTTTTTTTGAAATCTATGAAACTGTTATTCAATATGACTAATTTGAAAAAAGAACAATGAAATATCAATTGGAAACTGCTTTCCATATTACATGTCAAGTAATGTTGGTATTTTCTAAAAATAAAAATTTGAATGATGCTATACAGTAAACTTCACTTATAGCGAACACGGTTATAGCGAACTTCCGGTTATAAGGAACAATTTATTTTGGCCCGAATTTTGCCCTTCTTCATTTAAAATAAAAATATACGGTTAAAGCGAACACGGTTATAAGGAATTATCGCTTATAAGGAACTCATTTCTTAGTCCCAATTTAGTTAAAAGTACAGAAAATTAAACTTTTATAACGAACTCCAAAATATCCGCTATCCGTAAATAGATCCCGCATTTTCAACTTTCGTGTTCATTTGCGGCTAAATGTACCGTTTATTGTTGAGTGTACTTCAGTACATCTATGGAAATGAATTTGTATAGCAGTACGTAATAGTTTTCTATTAAGGATATTTTAGCATGGGTCTTGTCATCAAGATAAAACGGTTATTCGTTAAATGTTTTATTCTTTTATTTCTTTTCTTAAATAGTTTTGCTCGAGTTAAATAATTATGATCATTTATAATCGGTTTTCAACATAATCAATCATTGAAAACTACAAAGTACGCTTGATTGAAATGGAAAAAAATCTATATCTTTCATTAGTAAAAGTCACTCTTTAAATATAATACAACTAATACATAAAAAGAAGAAAATATCGAAAATTTTGTTTATCCCTACTCATGGAAGCATTGAGTTTAGAAACTAAATATGATACTTTATGAGAAATTGAGAAAGGGAGTAAAACTAAACTGAAATTAAAAAGGATTTCAAATTCCAAAAAATACGCTCTCGGGTATTGTGTCTCAAAAAGAAATGTAATAAATGACTATTTTTTCTTAATTAAATGCTCTTCAAAATGGCAGACGATGGTAAACAATCAGTTCGTTATATGTTAATCTGTTCGCTATAAAAACTCCTGATACAAGGAACTAGTTCGCTATATGCTTATAAGGAACTCCGGATATAAGGAACATATTTTGAATGTCCCAATGAGTTCGTTATAAGCGGAGTTTACTGTATATTCATATTGTGACATCTTATAGTGTGTAGAATTCCAAACATAACATATCTACATTGTGTGAAGTCAATACATGTATTTTATAGTTATAAAGAAACTGTGTAGCATTTATCAATGTTTTCAGATATCAAATTTAAGCATAGTATATTTTTAAAGCTCGTTTATGATACAAACGATCCCATTTCAAAATTCTTTTTATCTAGTTGAACCTATCAGTTTAAGAGCACACGCTATTTTTATTTTGACCGCTTGTCGTAAAATGACATGATTGTGTTACATTGAAAGTTTCATGATAACCGCTTTATGAATTTACCTTCGAATGTTCTAAACCCATTATTTAACCATTTCATGTTTAAGTGTAATGTTTTTGATAAGTGGGATGGACTGTTGTTTGTACACTACATGTACTTCTGACAATTAATAGACTCAATCAAACTGAACTTTCAACATTTTTAGTTTTGACGGTTAGGGTTTCCGTTTCTTTTTCCTTTTTTATTCTGAGTAAATGACATGCCCATTTTTCATATTTGCATTTTGAACTTTTCAAAGTTCGATTACACTGCAAAATGTAGATTGTATTGTAAATCAATGCTCTTAAAGTATTTATGGTATATGTTATGAATAGTTCACTTCAATCTTTTATTTAAAATCAAATTTTGTCATCCACTTGTCGGAACGTTTCCTGTGATTAAAGGTGTGAAATGGATTTTTAAAGACGTTGATTTTCCGGCAGTCAAGAAAGAAATGTTGTGGCCATTGAAAGATTATTTCAGCCTTTATGGTAATACATTGAACAACACAGTCATGTTCGTTTTGTGAGATTATAGTAAAACAAATACTTTGCTTTTGTTAAGAAAATTTTAATGGGTGGATTCAAGTGACATGCTTGAAGATGAAAACAAATAATGTGAAAATCATTTTTAGCTTGTATTGCTTATAATAGTAGCTTTTTCGTCAATCACTTTTGTTTACTAATAGATTTATAAGAATACAATTCGATGCAATCAGTTTGCTTGAAAAAAAAAGAAAATCGTCACTTGGTTTGCTTATTGTAACAAGTTAAAATCAATGACGTTTTGCAAATCATAAAAGCCTGCAAAAATGTCATAATAAATCATTTATAATGGAGATTGAAGTAAAGTACATGTATTGTGTTAAAGATTATAGCGTTATTACGACTCAGTATTTATAACATTTTTATGTGATTTTTACATAAAAAATTGTTAGAAATGAACACTAATTATATCATTCGCTGTCTGCACTTAAGTTTTGTGATTTGGATTGCACACGGACAATTGTACACAGAAATGAGCGATCTAGTAGACAAGTTATTTAATGAATCCAGATACAACAAATTTCTAAGGCCCTTGTACAACCAAAGTCAGCCAATTGAGGTAAATTTTGAAGTTGAGCATAATAAAACAAATATTTGTTTGCAAATGAGGACCTTTTTTTAAATGGAATTATATGTAATTGTGAGTAAACACATTTATACTTGATTTGTGAAATCAATTTGTCAATGTGCAGTTAAAATAATAAACATTATCTAAAGAAGTGAAGTACGAACAATTTCAATTATATTCTTTTTAATTTAATTATTTTATGTAAATAGAAAGACAAAAAGAACCCGATTAGTATATGTAGTTGAAGTAGTAGAGGGTTAAAGCAGCACGCCTCAAGAATCATGCTAATTTTCATGAAAATTTTGAAAATGTAGTTATAAGTATTATTAAGTGAAATTACCTAAAGGAAGCAATTTGCACATTGTCAATGGCACTTATAATCCACGTAAAATACTAAACAAAGCACAAAGTGTGCAAAAATAACCCTTTACTGCGTTAGTTACGCAGTAGAAATATAGTTATAAATACTGAAAAATTAGTCATTAATCATACATAACATGTAAATCATAACTTGAATCTTAAATATTTTTACTGTTCCTAAATTCTCAGTATATTTTTCTCAAGTTTGATTTTATTGATTTATTTTCGCTCGTTTGGAGGCAAGTTTTAAGTAATACAAAATCTTATATTTATTGCAGATCAATCTCTCCCAATTTCTCTTAGCTATTGAAACGTTTGACATAATTTCGGGAGAGCTGGATATTAATGAATTCTTTAAAATTACATGGACGGATGAACTTCTTACATGGGACCCTTATGTACACCATGGTAAAGAAAAAATTCCATTGCCCAAGGGAAAATTTTGGAAACCAGAAATTTTGTTAAGAAGTGGTGCAGCCGCCGACAGTTCTGCAATCACATAATGCAAATTTTCACCGGCTTGGGTAAGCTACCAAGGCTCTGTTCTCATGACACCAGCTTGTACATTCAGGGTTAGATACAATATTGATACAACGTTTTATCTATTTGACACACATGAGTGTAGTTTTTATTTCATTGTATCTAATCATGATTCCACTGAATTAGTTCTTAATTCTCCGATTAAACTCTTAGATACTAGAAATTTAGAAGAAAATGGCGAATGGGAAGTAGCAAATTTTGCCGAGAATATTGATGAAGGAAAAGATGAAAATATTGAACAGTTGACGATCCCAATGTTACGTGCCTCTTTCACTTTGAAAAGAAGACCTTTGTCAGCACTCATTAACAGTATGGCACCTTCTCTACTACTTTGTATCCTTTATATTCTGACATGTTGGGTTCGGTCTGATTCTGGCGAAAGATTGTCAGTTGTAGTGACTTTATATCTGGCTTTTGTTTTTTCAACTACGTCACTCATGGACAAAATCCCAAACAATTCATTAAAGATGCCTGTGCTTTCTTTCTTCATTCTTACTGTCAATATTATAAATGCACTTTGTGTTACATGGAGCATATTTGTCGTACATTTAGCCAAAGCAGATATTATAAAGCGAAAACTACCAACTATTCTCACAAAAATGGTGATGAAAAATAAGCGTATTTCGATGTCTAAAATTCGAAAGAAGGTTAAACCTGTTATTGAAATAGAGCAAGCAGCTAAAGTACAAGACATTACGGGCAAAGATTTGAACGACGAAAAAGAAGAAGACCGGGTTATAGATTATGATAATGTGGACGGAATAAGTGGACTGGAATTGTCATCCGTTCTTGACAGAATATTCTTTTGGATTTTAATATTTATCCTATTATTTCTTTGCATCTTTTATTTCGTTTTTTTTAGTGAGCAAGAGCATGTAAGTGCTGTTTCAATGACAATTAACTAGATTAATCGACTAAAAAAATAAGACAATTAAAAATAGAAAAAAATTCTCATTTTCATTACAACAGTACATCATTACTACTTTTCTATCAATAAAAAACATTAAAAACACATAATACAATTTGAAAAATCTGGTACATACACAAACAGAAAAGAAATTTAACAAATCAACATAATTATCGCATTGAATATAATATGAAAATTTTAATGCATCGGAATTAATTTGACTAAAGCGAATTACAATGTAGAGATGTTCAAATAAAAAAACCCCATGTAATTTCATGATCAAATAACTTTTGCAATTTTTTATTTATCCATATTTCCCATTTTTCAGGTTGTTTTTTAATGCGCAATGCCTAAACTATGCACATTACTTCTTTAAAACTGTTGGAAAGGAATGTCCCCTCATATAAAAAATGGACACAAACATGAACAGGTGAAATGAAATTGAAGATTCGGTTTGGTAGAGTATTTTCAATCGTGCCAAGCACTATAGCACTCAACCACCACTCAATCATGAATATTAAAACGTCAGGGCAAAAAGTCTCTTTATCTGTCTGCCAAGTTCAATAGTTTTTTTATCGGAATTATAGTCCAGGGGTCGCTTATTCGATCCTTGGGCAAAGCAAATTGTTACGTGACAATTGATCCCGGACTCTGTGTCTCACCAATGGTTATTTGTCTCTCACTACCATTTCAATAACTCAATATCTCAATGAATTAGTAATCGGTCATTAGAATTAGGAATAATTGGTAATTAAAATGTGTCAACATCGGTGTAAATGAGCCAGATAAACTAACAAACAATAAATTTATTATAATTCTTATTGTTCATACTAAATTAGTAAGAACTCTATCAACATGTTTACAGCAAAAAAATTATAAGATTATACAAGAGATACATGTTTCTATTGATTTCATTAAGATTTCGAATACATATAGAACACTTTCCATTGTAGACCAATCCATCTTAAAATTGTGTAACCGAAAGGCAAATTGAAAACCTAAAGGCAAATTGCATTATTGTTCTTTAAATACACATTGATGCCACGAAACTAAATGTATGAATAAAAATAAGGTTTCTACCACTTATCAAACAGAATAATATAAATAAAAGTTTGAATTGTGCACACTTTTGCTAACATACACGATCAATTGCATGTACTTATTTTTATTTCTTTTTTGTTGGATCTTACATCGTATTAAAAACAATGCATGAGGCGACTTTCCAGCTTTTCTGATGGAAGAAGACATCGAGTGCCTGTCCATGCATTATTTCAGCCAAGACCGGGAACATCAGAAGAATAAACGACGTTTCGTAAGCTAGTTGACTTACTTTCTTAATAATTACATGAAAGAATCCAAAGTCGCTGGCGGGATTCGAACCAACAGCGATAAGGGGCAAGTTATTTGAAGTCAACGACTTTAAACCACTCAGTCGCGGGACTGACTTTTACTTTAAAAATACATTCTCCAATATGTTGTAGACAATACTGGCATAGTAATTTAATTTTGACAAAAGATTGTAAAAATTCCAATTTGATTTTGCCCCTTTTGTAGCAAAAGCATTGTTCCAGTAGGTACACATCTCAATCTTATTTATGTTGAATAGCAACAACAACAACATCATCAATACATTAAAGCATTTTATTTACAATTCGAGATATCACACCCAAATATTTCAGATTTTAGATAAATATATAAATGCATAAAAGGGTTTAAAATGCTTTTTTCCCACCGAACTTTATTAAGGCGATGTTCCTTTTATTTCCATATATTAAAATTGTTATGCCGGTGCCTTTATGTGTAAAATATTGTCTTAACATGGGGAAGTCCAAAAAAAGACAACACATTCTTGTGTCACCCAGGGACACTTTCGTAGAGCATCTGCACGTTGGAAAGTATTGTGTTATATAGACCGTTCTATCAGCCAATTTTAACAACACAAATAACTTTATTGATGAACTCCTATGGACTCTAAAACTGAAAAAAGTATAACACAAGGGAAATTCAATGGCTTACAAATAAAGCTACAATTACAGTTTATATTCGCTCACGCTGATTTGAGTGGTGAAACAGGTACAATGGTTATTACTACAATCAATAATTAATTCTGGGTTGTTCGTCACCAGTATGCAATACAGATGAAATTAGTTCTAAAGTAAGATCTGCATAAACGTGTCATTGGATTTAATATATAAGCGCTTATAAGTTGTGAAAAACAACTACATTAAGGGTATTTTTTATTTCAAAGCAATAGACTATGCAATCCTAGATATTAACTTATCACTAACATGGTAATTATGGATAAAATAACATTGTTATTGATAATATTAAACGCTCTTGAGACATCGCTTGGACAAACATACACTGAAATGGACTTTTTGCTAGGACATCTTTTCAATGAGACAAGATATAACAAATATCTGAGACCTTTAGAAAACCAAGGTCATGTCATTCAGGTAATTATATTATATATTGTGTGTTGTTTTTATTATTTTCTCATTGCTTTTTTATTTCCCACTATGCAAAATGAACTTCTTTTCAATAAAGTCTTTGAAAGTGCTTTGTGGCGACTCTAGTAATTTGTCACTGTCTTTAAAGTCGTGGTCTTTGGCCGGGTTTTAATCATTTAAAAACAAAAAGTTACACGACTTTGTCTGTACGTTGAGATGTTAGACATTCTTGTGACAAGTCTATTTATAAGCGAAATTAAAGGTGTACGAATTATTATTTTTTTTTATGGTATAAACACATAAAATAAAAACATCATGAATAAATATAAACAAAATGATGACATGAAAAACATAACAAAAGTCACCTGTGGGTTTTTCCAAGCTAATCCCCGATACAACAGCTTCGATTTTCAAGGTAGGCTACCGGTCACTATAAATAAGTAAACCTTCGAAACTGTAGCTGTAAAAGTTTGTAATAATTTAACCCCCGGATTCGCTGGGGAAAATCCCAAACTATTTTTAATCGCGGAGTAAATTTATTTCGTAAAGGTTTCTTATTGTTCGATAGGTTTTGTCCGATTTAAAATAATTTTCTTGGGAGCAAATGCGATGTTTATGCGAAAATCAATTTTAAAAATGTCCGATCGATTTTTAATGAAAGAAATTTCAAAATTCATTACAATTTTTCTCTTGGTTTTACCCAGTCGGCCAAATACAAATATACAGTACATTCATAATTCTAATCACTCAATTCTATTGAAAAACAAATAGAAATTTATACGAAAAATCTATAAATCCGAGAGCAAAATTTAAATATATGTTTAACAATGCAAATGCAGGGTTGTAAGTTAAGTTTGTATGATATCTTAAATACCGTCAGCTATTGAATAACAAATTCTCACAAATTATTTTTCTTTGACCTTTTGTAGGTAAACTTAACACAGTATGTGAAAAGCATTGAAAGTCTTGACATCTCGTCAGGTGAGCTTCTAATAACTGGATATTTCGAAATAAAATGGACAGATGAAATGTTGACATGGGACCGTGCTCTTTATGGAGGTAGAGAAAAAATGCAGTTGCCCAAAGATAAATATTGGAAACCAGAGATTTCCTTAACAGACGGACCGGCAAATGAGGACACTTCAATTTATGGGAGCGGATTCTATCCCGCGTGGGCCACTTACAAAGGGTTAGTAATGATCATTGCAGCTGGCAGTTACAAGACGAAATGTATTGTTGATACACAATTTTATCCTTTTGATATGCACTCGTGTTACTTCCAGTTCATCGTATCAAATCATGACTCTACAGAACTTGTGATATCTTCCCCTTCACCCGATATTCATTTAAGTGATTTCAAAGAAAATGGTGAATGGGAAGTTAAGAGTACAGATACAAATGTAATGCTGGTAAAAGAGAAAAACATAGACAGTGTGGGTATACCAATGTATAAGTCATCGTTTTTGTTAAAAAGAAGGTCCAAATTTGAAATGATAAATTCACTTACACCTATCATGTTTATGTTATTTCTGAATATTGCAACTTGTTTCGTTCGCCCTGAATCCGGTGAAAGGACAACATTTGCAATAACGCTATATTTAGCATTAGTTTTTGCAGCAACAGCATTAACTGAGACAATACCTAGAAATTCATTAAAAATACCAGTGATTTCGTATCAACTGCTTACAGTTAATCTCATCAACACGGTTGGCGTTTTATGGAGCATATTCATTGTTAATTGCGCGAGTAAATCTGCGGCTGATAGATATCTGCCAAACTTTCTTCTCAGAATGATTATGAAAAGGAGAAAGAAAAGTAAAAATAATGTTAAAATGATAACTGTAGAAGAATCAGTTGTATCGATATTGCCTGTTGAGGGTACGGATATTCGTAATAGTGACACCACTTCTCAAAAGGAAGAAGTATGTAATGAACCACGTCTGCTAACATAACTGGACACGAGGTGGCGGAAGTTCTCGATACAATTTATTTCTGGACGATCATTATTTGTATTATTTTAGCAAATGTCATTTACAGTGCATTTTCGTACCAAAGTTGGTTCAGTTAGATGCATCAGGGAGAAGTGTTCTTTACAAGTAAGAAACACGCTCTCTAAGTCAAATTAGTCGACTGGTCGTTTGTCTCTCATCGCTAATTCAGAAATTATTTGTTATTGGAAGTCAGTAGCTTGTGGAAAATTGGTTATTTATTGCTGATAATCCAGGAAAACCGGTTAGGTGTATCGACCACCGACAAAATTTGCTGAATTTGGCGTAAACAGGGAAACAAACTGTAAATTTTGTGACTTTTTTTATCGCACGGCTTACATGCCAAAAGACAGACATTTCAATTTCATTTCTTTTTGTTTTCAACTGACAAGTTCATGTCTATAGAAATAAACATTGATTACATAAATTATACAAATCAATCAAACAATAAATAACAAAAAACAGCACAAATGTATCTATATAATCAGAAATGTCCTAAAATCCAACTGATGAATTATGAAAAATCTTCATATTATGATATGAAAACAATTTTATAAATTCAATTTTATAAAATGCAAACCATTGATGATTGTTACTGATTTTTCTGACATAAAGTTAATGAAATTGTGTTTTGCCAAAACGATTAAATGATATCATTTGAGATATTTCATTTAATTCGGTAATCTTTTTGGCAAATGAGAAACAATGCGTTTCATTAAACAGTCAATTATCACAGAAACGCTCAAAATTTTAGGGAATCCACAGAAATCTTTCGATATCAATATAAATGATTTTTTCGTACAATTTGATGTCCGTCTGAACAAATTTCTTTTGCGCCAACCTTTAGATCATTCGCTTGGTTCTTTTTTTCCAGAATAATTATACCCTAGAAATAAAAAGAGTTCCAACGCTCTTAATCAAATCAAGCTAAGAATCACATACATTGTGCTTGCAATTTAATTCTTATTACATGTATATATCATTTGCATATCTTCTTCGTTTGAAATTGAGCTACATAAGAATACAAAATTTATGATTTTTATGCTTTGGACCTCAGTAGAGTTCCTTGATATTTTAAACAGTTTATAAATAGGACGATGTTCTTTATTTTGATAATGTTACTTGTCCTTTTTGCAATGACTATTCCTCTCCTCACATTCCCTTCGCATAAATATTAAATACATACCAACATGTTTTCTCTGCTATAAAACCCCAAATTTTAAACGACTTCGATGTTTGGGCTATATTAATAATAATTGTATCTTTTGAACTGATCATATTCAGAGGCCGTTTTGTGTGTTTGTTGTTTTAAGATTCAGTGTTACAGTTTGAATAAACATTGCAATAATCTTTTTATCGGTTCATATTATATGTTACAATTTAGGGTCTTATGAAAAACAAAAATAGCATCAGCTCTGAACATCAGTCAAAATATTTGCATTTAACCAAATTCAGGTGGCGATACCACATGACATTAATGATTCAAAACAAGCATATTTTTGTCTGAATAAGGTATGTTTTTATCAATATCGTTGCTGATTTGGAAGAGATAATGTGCAGAAAACCCGTACTTGTGAAAGGTAACCACGGTATGTCAAGCTTATGAAACCCCTTAATTGTCTTTGAGAACATTTATGTACAGTTCCTTTTTATAACTTGAAAGAAGGATAGGTAAACAATCGAAATAAAAGCAAGGGGATTCCAACAAGTTGTCTGTTCTTTCTCTTCGCAGGATTCAATAATATTAAATATAAATTATTGATTTAATAATGCGAATAGACTCGGTTTGATAGTGTCTGTTCATGACGAATGACAGAAAAGCTAAACAGCCTTCACGACCCTGACGCGTTGGTAAGCGGTACTCCATCAACACTTTATGATACCGTATCGAAAGACCAGAACAATTTACCAGCATTTAAGTAAAGTACGGGGCAACAATTTATAATTCCTACAAGAAACTAACTTTTAAATTGCGCAATGGAATATTTAAAAGGAGGGATGCATTAATACATCATCGAGCTTTTTACAGTTTGACAAGTGCTTTTATAACAGAATTTGCTTTGCTGTCATTCAAACAATTAATTCCATTTTGTATGACAATCAATGTCATTAACTAGTTTACTCAATATACACTTTATGTCCTTGAATCAATGTACCGTACCGAAGGACGAGAAAATTTACCAGCACTAAAATAAAATATATTTTACAACTCCTACAAGGCACTTAGCGCCCGCTGCTTTTAAATTGCGCTATGAAATATTCAAAAAGAGGGATGTATTAATACATCATCAAGCTTTTCACATTTTGACAAGTGTTTACATAACAGTATTTGCTTTGCTGTCATTCCAACAATTAATTCCATTTTGTATGACAATCATTGTCATTAACTATTTTACTATTTTACTATTAGCCATTATAAAGCAATTCTATGTATGCACATCACTTATTAAATCCATAAATGTGTGAAGTTTTATAACGTCTAATTCATTATTCACAAATTATAAACGATGAAAGAAAATCGTTGTTTTCCAATTGCAATTATTTTAAATGCCTGTTCGGACAATAAAAAAAACTTATATAGTATAACAGATATCTAGAAAAGTATTCAACAACATAACAACTGACTTTATATGCAAAACCTGCAATGAATGATTATTTATAAGAATCATTTATAATTCCTGCTTTCAGTATCGTATATACTTTGACAATTGTTTAATAATAGACTGAATACTGCTCTTGCTTGTAAAAACAACAAAATCAGATAATATGGCTTCAACCTGCCACTAAAATTCCTATAAATCTTGAGATGTGTAATTACATCTGTAAACTTGAAGTCTTAGAATAATTAGAAGGTAATCTTTTGTAGTAAATTGACATTTATATCCGCAGTCTGACTATTTAAAGCCCAAAAGGACATAGGTAATTCATTATTCTCGTGTAATAAATGTTTATGAGGGACCAGTTTTGCTTAAGTGTACATTCATCTTGTGAAGTATAATTTTTCCTGCTTGTTGGCATTGCAAATTCACCCATTCTGTACTTAACAGATAAATCTTTGTTATAGAAATAAGACTATTCAAACATTTAAGATTTGTTTTTCATAATAAATATTGTGCAAAGCATATTTAGAGAACATTGAATAAATATCAATAAAGGACCATATTAATAAAGTAAAGTGTAACATTTACTCACCTGAGGAAACGTACCGAAGTTAGCCTTTTGAATAGCTTTTAATTTGTGGTAATGAAATTTTGCAAATACATATGTATACAAAATTGACAAGGTTCTTGTTATAATACTTTATGATATCTTTCATTTTATTTCATTTTAATGTTGAATTACAAAGTTAAAAAATGTTATTTCTGTATGTCGCTACTGAATTATTTTATCAGTTGTCTAATTACCACTACATTGAACAAATGCTTTCAATATGAAAAGTACGAGGATAGTTAGTTTCTTTTATTATCTTCATAAGTGATATTGATCACAATAATTATAGTTACACGCATATCCTTTCCGTTACTTTATACTTAATTTCTTGTTATATACTTTTGATCTAACCATGCTCTTACATGGACTGGAATGGAATACTCCTCTTATACATACATGTTTGTGACAAAACTATTGTTTTTATAGGAGTACATGTGGGGGCACAGTATTCTATTTGTAAAATGTAACCACGACATTGAACAACACGGTGTCATTTTACGATAACAAAATGTTGCATTTTCACAAGGTTACTCACTAGATTGAGCGGGCTCTTTAGTGTATCCTGTAAAAATTAGATGTTAGAAAAATGTTATGAAAGAAAATATTATCTTGGCAGTCTCTTGCATGAGTTTGTCGCCCCATCAAGATCATAAAAAGACATTTCATACTGGTATCACTTCATGGATATTTATTAATGTATCACTGCATGTCACTTAACCCATCGTTACACTTTGTGACAAACTATAGTGTGTAGAGTTCCAAACACAATATATCTTCTTTGTGTGAGGTCAAAATATATTTATTTTGTAGTTATAAAGAGACTGTGTAGCAATTATTTTATAGATATCAAATTTGAGCATAATTTTATCTTCAAAGCTCAAATTGTATCAAACAAAAGATCCCATTAATTGAACCTATTAGTTTTTTTTTTGTTTAGAGTACGCGCTATTTTTCACTTTGATCCTTTTTGTTAAATGACATGATTGTGTGACATTGAAAGTTTCATGATAACCGTTATATGAACTTACCTTAGAATGTTCCAAACGCATTCTTCAACCATTTCATGTTTAAGTGTAATGTAATGCTTTTGATAATGAGTGTGGACTGTAGTTTGCACTGACTATTTGTTCTTCTGACAATCAAAGTGAACTTTAAACATATTTTATTATGACGGTCGGGATTTCCGTTCCTTTTTCCTTTTATGATTAAACGACATGTCCTTATATTTTTATATTTGCATTTTGAATTTTTCAAAGTTCCATTCTCCTGCAAAATGTATATTGTATTGTAAATCAATGCTATTGAAGTATTTAAGATACATTTTATGAATATGTCTTTCAATTAGAACACTTTAACCTTTTATCTAAAATCAAAATTTTGGCATCCCCTTGTCGGAACCTTTCCTGTGATTTAAGAAGTAATCAATTTTGAAAGAATTTGGTTTTCCAGCAGTCAAAAAATAAATGAAATAAATAAATGTTGTGGCCATTGAAAGATTATTTCAGCCTATATGTTCATACACAGAACAACAGAGTAATTAACTTTGTTTGTGATTAATGTAAAACAAATATATTTGCTTTTATTATAAAATGGGTGACGTGCTTGAAAATGGAAACAAATTATGTGAAAATCATTATTTAGCTTGTATTGTTCATTATAATAATTGTTTCGTCTATAATAAAAGCTTGGATAAATATCAAAATAAACACATTTATAATGGAGATTGAAGTGTGTTTTAGATAATAGTGTTGTAACGAATCAGAATTTATAAAAAAATTATGTGATTTATACATTAAAATTTGTTAGAAATGAACATTAATTATATCATTCGCTGGCTACACTTAATTTTTGTGAATCGGAGTGCACATGGATAATTGTACACAGAAATGAGCGATCTTGTAGACCACTTATTTAATGAATCCAGATACAACAAATTTCTACGGACTTTGTACAACCAAAGTCAGCTAATTAAGGTAAATTTTGAAGTTGAGCATAATAAAACAATTATTTATCTGTAAATGAAGACCTGTTTATAAATTATATGTATTTGTGAGTAAACACACATATACTGGGTTTGTGAAATCAACTTGACGATGAGCAGTTAAAATAATATACACTATTTAAAGAAGTGAAGTAAGAAAAACTTCAATTATAGTTTTTTATTTTAATTAGTTTTTGTAAATAGAAAGACAAAAAGAATCCGACTTGTATAGTAGAGGGTAAAGTAATACAAAATGTTATATTTATTGAAGATCAATCTTACCCAATTTCTGTTAGAAATTGAAACGTTTGACATAATTTCGGGAGGGCTGGATATATATGAATTCTTCAAAATTACATGGACAGGTGAACTTCTTACATGGGACCCTTTTGTACACCATGGCAAGGAATGAATTCCATTGCCAAAGGGAAAATTGTGGAAACCAGGAATTTTGTTAAGAAGTGGTGCAGCCGCCGACAGTTCTGCAATCACATAATGCAAATTTTCACCGGCATGGGTAAGTCACCAAGGCTCTGTTTTAATGACACCAGTTTTTACCTTCAGGGTTAGATGCAATATTGATACAACGTTTTATCCTTTTGACAGACATGAGTGTAGTATTTACTTCATTGTATCTAATCATGATTCCACTGAATTAGTTCTTAATTCTCCGACAAATTTCTAGATACTAGAAATCTAGAAGAAAATGGCCAATGGGATGTAGAAAATTTTGCCGAGAGTATTGATGAAGGAAAAGATGAAAAGATTGAGCAGATGGCAATCCCAATGTTACGTGCCTTTTTCACTTTGAAAAGAAGACTTCTGTCTGCACTTATTAACAGTATAGCACCGTCTCTACTACTTTGTATCCTTAATATTCTGACATGTTGGGTACACCCTGATTCTGGAGAAAGATTGTCACTTGTAGTGACTTTATATCTGGCTTTTGTTTTCACAACTACGTCATTCATGGATAAAGTTCCTAACAATTCATTATAGATGCCTGTGCTTTCGTTTTTCATTCTTACTATCAATGTTATTAATGCAGTCTGTGTTACATGGAGCATATTTGTCGTACATTTAGCCAAAGCAGATATTATAAGGCGAAAATTTCCAACAATTCTCACATATTTGGTGATGAAAAATAAGGGTATCTCGATGTCTAAGATAAGAAACAAGGTTAAACCTGTTATTGAAATGGAACAAACAAATCAAGTACAATCCGATACGGGCAACGATTTGAACGAAATAAAAGAGGACCGTGTTGTAAATTATGATCGAAGACGAAATAAGTGGACTCGAATTATCATCCGTTCTTGGCAGAAAATTCTTTTGGATTTTAATATTTATCCTATTATTTCTTTGCATCTTTTATTTCATATTTTTACTGAGCAAGAGCATGTAAATACTGTTAGAAGAAAAATAATCTAGATTAATCGACTAAAAATGTAAGACAGTTAAAATAGAATGAACACTCCCATTGTTATAAAAAAAGTACATTATTACTACGTATTCATCAATAACAACATGGCCGAGTGGTTAACACGTCGGACTAGTGATCTAAAGATTGCTGACCAAGTGGGTTCAAACCCTGTCAGGGGCAAGTCGTTGTTTCCTTGAGCAAGAAACTTTACATTCATTGCTTAGTAATGGTTGGTTACAGGAACGGATTCGAGAGTGCTTCAATAAGCTCATGGTAAAGCTTCCAACACGGTCGAACTAAAAATAAATTTGTATAAACTAATAACAACATTAAAAACACATAATAAAATTTGAAATCTGGTACATACACAGACAGAATGAAATTTATCAAATCAGCATAATTATCGCTTTGAATGTAATATGAAAATTGTAATGCATCGGAATTAATATGACCAAACAGAAATACAATATAAAACAAACATGTATTTTCATGATCAAATAACTTTACAATTAGTTTATTTGTCTTCATTTCCAATTTCTAAGCTTTTTTAATGCGCAATGCTTGAACTATGCACATAACTTCTGTAAGAGTGTTGGAAAGGAATTACCCATAATAAGCAACGGACACAAACATAAAAGGATGAACTGAAATTAAAGAATCGGTATGATAGAGTTTTTTCAATCGTCCCAAGCACTATAGCACTCAACCACAACTCAATCATAAATATTAAAACGTCAGGGCAAGAAGTCTTTTTATCTGTCTGCACAGTTCAATAGTTTTTGTTATTGGAATTATAGTCCAGGGGTCGCTTATTCGATCCTTGGGCAAAGCAAATTTTTCCGTGACAATTGATCCCGGTTTTTGTGTCTCATCAATTGTCATTTCTCTCTCACTACCATTTCAATAACTCAACATCTCAATGAATTAGTATTCGGTCATTAGAATAAGGAATAATTGGTAATGAAAATGTGTCAACATCGGTGTAAATGAGTCAGATAAATTAATAAACAATAAATTCATTATATTTTTTCTACTAAATCAGTCAGAACTCTATCAACAGGTTTAAAGCAAAAATTTAAAAGATTATACAAGAGATATATGTTTCTAATGATTTTATTAAGATTTTAAATTCATAAAGAACATTTTCCATTGTAGACCAATCCATTTTAAAACTGTGTAATAAAAAGGCAAATTGAAAACCTAAAGACAAATTGTATAATTGTTCTTTCAATACACATAGATGCCACGAAACTAAATGTATGAATAAAAATAAGGTTTATTCCATTTATCAAACAGAATGATATTAATAAAAGTTTGAATTGTGTACATTTTTGCTTACATACATGATCAATTACATGTACTTATTTTTTTATTTCTTTTTTGTCGGATCTAACGGCTTATTAAAACAATACAGATGTCATTTGGCGACTTTCCAAGTATTCTGACCTCGAGTGCCGCCTGTCCATGCATTATTAAAGCCAAGACCGGGAACATCAAGAAAATGAACGACGTTCCTTAAGGTAGTTTGATTCCTTTCTCACATGACAAAATCCAAAGTCACTTGCGGGATTCGAACCAACAGCGATAAGGGGCAAGTTATTTGAAGTTAACAACTTAAACCACTCGGTTTCAGGACTTTTTACTTTAAAAAATACATTCTCCAATATGTTGTAGACAATACTGGCATAACAATTAAATTTTAAAGAAGGTTTGTAAAAAATCCAATATTTTTACTGCCGCTTTTATAAAAGCATTGTTTCAGTAGGTTCACATCTCAATTTTATAAATGTAAAATAGCAACAACAGCATCAATACATAAAGCATCCTATTTACAATAAACAAGGGTTATTCGAGATATCACACGCACATATTTCAAATTAATGGAATTGCTCATTGATAGAGCTTCCATGAATGCATAACAAAATGAGTGCTTAATCTTTTTACATATATGTCAGATAATAACTCTTTGTACTTTGAATTTATATGAAATGTCATTCGAATAAACTCAAATCCAAATATTTCTGCTAAAAAAGTTGTGTATGGAAAAAAAACATGCTACACATGTATGGAGATAAGAAAACATGTACAAGTGTATTAAAGCTGTGGTTGAACATGACGTAATAGACAAATAATATGTAATCATCGTCTGAGTTGGTTAAAAATAAAGAAATAAGTTTTCGTCCAATTTGAATTTTTTTCTCTTTTTTCTATTGAAATGCAAAGCTGAAAGTTCTCTTTAAAGTTTAATCAAACCAATAATACATTGGCGCAAACAAAATTTAATAAGAAAATATTACATCTCTCATGAATTTTACTGCAGATTTTAAAGTAATTTTTTTATTTAATTTAATTTTTAGCGATGTTGTTTTTATTTCTAATTTGTAGTTATCCTTCTGATGTTATGTTTTTAATGTTGCTTGACTTGCCCCCTTGTCCTGATATAAACACAATCTCGAAGACTCGTAGAGGTGTACCTATGATTGAGCCCAGATGCCGATTATAACGGAAGCAATAGTAACATTGAGAGATGTTATTGAAAACGCAAGTAACCAAAAGAATAAATTATCAGCAACATTAGCAACTTCACGTCCGGTGATATCATGTTGAAACTTATTTTCAAGTCCGCTGATATCATGTTGAAACTTTTTTTTAGAAATGTTTGGATTTTTTTTCAATACCATCCTTGACACTTTGTACCTCTCCGTTTTCATTAGATTCCATTGTCTGCGCCGTTTCATTTCCAGACTCAATTTTATTAAACATACATGTTTTATTTTGCCTCCTTTTCACAATCATGTTTAAAATTAGACTTGGGACTTTTCTTTGATCAATTGCTTGTATACTTGCCAAGTTAACAATAAATATACTCCACGCCACCCCGATTGTATTGATTAGATTTATAATAAGTACTTCATATGACATACATGGCATACGCAATGAATTATTTGGTATCTTCTCAATTGCTGCAGTTGCAGAAAATACTAATGATAAATATAATGTTATTGCAAATGACAGTCTTTCCCCCGAATCTGGTCTAACGTAACATGTCGCCATATTAAGAAATGTCATAAGCGTTAAAGGCATATATATGTTAATGGTTATGAACGCGGGTCTTCTTTTCAAAGTCAATGATATACGAAGCATTGGAACAGAAACCTTTCAAATTCTTTTTTCTTGAATTAGAGAATTCGCTGTATTTAAACTTTTAATCACCCATTCGTCATTGTCCTCAAGTTCATCAATGTTACTTGATGGCGAATTAATTATCAATTCATTTGCGCCATAATTAGACACTATGATATTAATATTACAATGATGAATATCAAATGGATAAAGCGTTGTATCAACGTCGCATCTTGTGTCGTACGTACCTCCCAAAACCATTATAACATCTCCATTGTACTCAACCCAAGCAGGAAATACGCCATTACTGTTAAATGAAAACGCATCGTTGCGGCGTCCATTCATCAATTCAAATTCCGGTTTCCAGAATTTACCTTTGGGTAATTGAATACTCTCTTTTCCGCCATATCGAGAGGGGTCCCATGTTAGATATTCATCTTTCCAGCTGATTTCAAAGAAGGCGGATATAAGCGCCTCCCCTGTTGTGATGTCAAAATATTCAACACTTTTTAAATACTTGGTACAATTAACCTGGAAATAGAATTGAAACTGTTGTTGAATGATTTCATCAAAATCTAAATTTCTTTCATTAATACCATTACCATTAAAGGGATACTCAGGCAAAATAATGGCAAAAATATAAAAATGATTTTCTGTACTCAAATCACCCTAAAATGACATTTATTAAAGTCCCAAAATGAATTTCTGTATAAATTCTATATATTTTGGGTTTGAAGTTTAAATATATCTATATATGTTGAACGAAATGAATAAGTAATTTTGAAATATTGAATATATGTCCAACAAGGGGTAGCCATGTCAACGTTTCATACCACGGCAGTTTCTAGTTATCAATAATCACAGTTAAGACAGCATTTAGGCACCGAACATGAAAGGTTTAAACTTTACTTTGAAAGAGAAAATGTGAACGGCTGAGATCACAGCAAAAACTATAGACAACAAATAGACGAAGGCGTATGGGAGGACGCGGTCAAGACATGATCGGTAGATAAATGAGTATGGAAGGATGAAGTCAGTAGTAAAATGCCGTTTGTCATTTTCAGTTTGATTTACTTCATTTAACATCTAAAGAAATAGGAGTTCATATTTCAAAAGGTGATTTTTTTGTATATGCATCTGGTATAACACTGATATTTCTTAGGAAATTGTGGTTATTTTGACAGTTGGCATAACCATTGAAACTGTCCGTTTACAAATATTGTTAAAAGTCAACATATATTTTTCTTTAAATTTACCATAAATGTTACTTGATATATCAAAAATGTAGAATATTCAATGAAAAAAATGTTTCGATATTTTTTAATTATTTACAGAATTCATGTTTTTTGTTCTCATTTTTCGTTCCGTTAAAAAGCGTGAAAAACACATTTTCAAAAGAAATATAAAAAGATTATCGTTTGTTCATACAGAATTATTGTGTTTTATTTGTATAAAATTGTGCTTGTTGTGCTATCTAACAGCGTGGCTACTTTTGTGATATTTACTGTTACACTGGAAACTGCCATTTTAGAAAAAAAATCCAACTCGTCAACATATAGTTTTATTTTTATTTTTGAATTCATCATTAATTTAATTATAAAATGTTTTTTAAAATTGTATGAAAGTATTTTTTCGATATTTATAAATATTTTCAGAATTCATGTTTATTTTTGTCACTTTTGTTCAGTTAAGAATCTTGAAAAAACTCATATTTGAAAGAAATATATTCAGATTATTATTTGTTGCATACAGAATCATAAGATAAAGTTATCTTTGTGTAAAATTGTGCTTGCCGTATGTATTAAGCTGTCATATACATGTTTTATTTTCTAAATTACAGTTTCGCTATTTTGAGAGTTTTGATATACAAGTATACGGTTACCATGGAAGCTGCCATTTTACAAAAATTCAACATGTCGACATATGTTCGTCTTTTATTTTGGAATTCACAATTGAATTTTACTAATCATATAAAAAATTTAGAAAATTCTATGAAAGGATTATTCTTTCCTAAAACTGTAGAAAATGTTTTAATCAATGTAAAATAATGCTAATAAATAATTAAAAAGTACAATAATATCATACCTGTATTTTATTTGACTGGTTTTGTAATGGTCGCAAGATTTTGTTGTATTTTGTTTCATTGAATAGATGTCCAACTAAATCATTCATTTCCTCGTACGTTTGTCCAAGCATAATCGCTAAATTACAAGTAATTAACATACAAACATATACCATTAACATCCTGTTGTGATGTTTTATTTAAATATTTATATACAGTTTAAGTTAAAAACTTGCCGAAATTTTACACCATTACAATTATTTCTTTTCAGCGCTTTATATGATACACTTTTTTCTCTCCCACCTGTTGAGATCAAAATGCTTAAATGTTGCTGATGGAAGTTTACAACAAAATAAAGAAAGAACTGTTCTGTTGAATAGGAACATTAATTACTCAGCATAGTAATGCATGATCTGATATGGCAAGGGTTATTGATATTTGCGTGGTTGTAAAACAATAAGACCTATAATATACTACTTCAGCAAAATGTTTATTGATTGAGTTCTTTATTGACCAGGAAGGAATCAGTAACAACTTAGAAGGCAGGTTTATTACCAGAGTAATGGCACAAACCAGTACTAATTCTGTAAACATACAAAAACATTGCGATATATATGCGAAACAGCAATTTTCAGGAAGAGTAAAATACTGAATTTCTGTTTACGAGGTATAGTCTAAAATTTCTGGCGCCAGTATTTTGAGACTTTCATGAAAGAGTATTATTCACTTTAAGAAAAGTCAAATTATTTCTGAAATGCTCCGTACACGGGTTGCCGGCGTGTTTCATGTGATAAATAATATCCAAATATTTTCTAAATTGATTTTTTTCATACATGTTGCTACTCAAATTACTTAAAAATACCTTCATGGAAAATTTCATGACAATCTTTTTAAACAGACCAGTCCGGGAACTTTTTGACTATACCTCGTAGTAATCATTTTTTATTGCCATTTTCACAAAAATTATTTTACGACTTTTCGAAGCACAGAAACAAAAATGTTATCTACAATTCGTAACTAGAAAAATATCAGATTCGACATTTTCTCTAAAAGAAAGTCTTCAAACGGAAATATATTGTTCCATAAGTGGTTTTTGAACATTTTTACTTTTTTTGGCATGATGATCATGAAATATAAAAAAATCCCCTTTTTTACAGAGTATAATAAACCAAACTCTAAACTGCAAACACTAACAGCATATTAGGCAAAATTATATCAATAGAACTTTTTCTATTTTTCTATCTGTTTCCTATTTTAAGTCGAAAATAGTAAACATTTCATTGCACAAATTTATTATTTAATAGCAGTTTCCGTTGCACATAGATTCCCTCGGCAACTTTTTTAGCGATACGCATTTAATCTGCAACTGTTACATGCAAACAATGTTGACATTAAACATGTCTTTAATATAACTTTAGGTCATCCACGTCAAGTTATTCCCTTAGTGCTTAAACTTAACTTTTATTTTAGTGTATGTGTATATGACATACAATTTATAAACATTGTACAAAGACTTTTCCTTTAAACAATAGTGTCAAAAATAAGTTTCATTAAGAATTTTTATTGCATTGAAAATTCTACATTACTTAAGCAATGCAGCAGGTTATCATAGAATGAATGACAGCCACCCATGATTACTGATGTCTGTGGTGGCAAATGCTGAAACTGACCTTTTCATAGTCAAAAATAAAATTGAACACAATGATGGCAATTTGCCAACTCAATTATATTTTATACGTTTTCACTGGCAATTAAACACTTTACACTTAATTTTTATAGTAACTGGTTGCCATACAGGCAAGCAAGTATTGGCAGGACCTGGTTTTCGAGGCTCACTCATTTTTTATATATACCCATATTAAACACAATCTATACATAATGATTTAATCGTTTGCATGATTAAGTTTTTTAAGCGCCCGTATTCACTGTCCCTGACCTAACGCCTATGCGGTGTAACTTTCAAAGAGAGTATAATAAGCGTATTTAATAGGACATGTTGTCACCTGAATGTTATCAACATACAATTTTGGCACATTTTTATCGGCTGATTATTTTATGCTTTTCAAGATTTTTTGTTCATTGTAATTTTGCGTTCACACGCAAATCATAATACAACGTTTGCCAACGTAACATTAATATTGCGATAACCACATCTACATTTGTTCATAATTATAACCTTGTGTGTTGCAAAGTCGAAAATTGTGTAGTTATGACATGTTAATTTCATCTGGCAATAGATTCAACTAACATTAAGTTAATGGCAAATCAAAACTTTGTAAAACAACACTAAGAACTTTAATGATGTTCTCTCTTTCTGTGTCCTATTCTTGCCTCATCTTTCCAAGTGCGTGCCCCATCTTTACGCTGTATTTGTTCGGCATATTCTGTATACTATTATCCTTTTCGGCCTATAATAATCTAGGTTGAGTTTATCTAAAAAATTTGGGAACTGTGCTGTTTTCAGTGATTGTTTTTATTCTTCCTCCATCTTCAGTTTATGTTCAGCATGTAAATCCACCAAGGTGACAAATTATAGTTTATGGTACTGTTTATTAAGTACGAATAAAATATAATGGAAAATATTGTCAAACCGCTGAGTAAATTCCGGGGGTGTGATATATCATGATTGAAATGTTAAAGTCTTTAACTGCAAAGCTACTAATACTGAATAAATGAATAAACAACGAAAGCACACTATTCAACACATTATTCTATTTGGATAAGATTTATAAAACAGGTTAACACTATTTAAAATGACGGAGAAAGATTTTCTTTTCGAACAGTCCAAAATGATATTTAAAACAGAGTTCGTATTTGTATTATATTGTATTAGCGAGCTCGACGAGCTGGCCCAGAGGGCCTGCTCGCAAAGCGAGCGTTGCGGTAACGCTAGTACCTGTTAAGTGATGGTTTTGAAGTACCGAATTGGACACATCGCAACCTTTCGAATTTAAAGATAACGGTAAACACTGAAGAATTCTGACTGAAAATGGGTGTGTAGACTGGTCACCCGCGCACGTCTATGAGAACCATAATTGGACAGTGAATCAGAATAACGGAAGCTGTGTATAAAATATCGAATGATAAAATGAAAATTGAAAGCGCCATTTTGTTTGAAAAATCTGATAAAGAAAAACAATTTTTTTGTCGAATTTTGTTGTGAAAACTATCTAGAATGAAAGAAAATGGTCTAACTAAGAATATCCTTTATTCAGTCGTTAACGCTGTACAGACATTTAAAGTTTTGTTTATGTGACGTCACAATGTAGCGTCAAACAGCACGTGCAAAACAAACAAATCAAGTACGCTATTTTAATGTCGCAAACGTTTTAAGTTTTACATTTATTTCACTTTTAATAATCTTTATTTCGCTTGAATAATTATAGAGTGAAATAAAATAAACGAAGTTTTATCAACGTTTTCAAAACTCGTTAATCATTTAACGACATGGGCGGAGCAATATTAAACACAGTACGTGAAACGTCACACGCACTCGTCACTGCATTTGAAATAAAAGTGAGCGATTATTTCATACTATTTCACGTTAAAAGTACATCGAGCTCGCTTTGAGGCTTTGCCTTTTCATATAATATATATTTAAAAGCTTTCAAATTGTTTAAGGTTCATCAATATAAAAAAAACATATATTTCAACTAATTCTCCTTCTAATGTGCTTCGTCCTTCGAGAGACTTTATATCAATAATAAAATCAAGTCGCTCTAAAACCGATGCTAAGTGATTATGGCTGTAGTACATTTAGTAATACATTAAGCACTATTGTTCATTAACAGATCTAATGAAACTATATCAGAAATGTTTACTTATTACTTAATTTTCACTGTAACTGATGAATCTCCGTATCTCAGAATTGATGTTATAAAATGTTCTTTATTTGTATTTGATTTATCATATTGTTAGGTATTCAAGATTAAACATTCGATAATTATGGCTTTGCTTCTTGCTAATTCAATCAAACCTCTTAAATCAGAATTTAATGGTTCTGGTATTTCCTTTGTGAATATACAAAAAGCAATTCTCAAGAGTACTTTATTCTAGCAATTAACAACTGGCATGGAATGAGTTATAAATTGATATAAATATAGAACTATATAGAATAAACGCATGTGCTTGTAAAACAGATCAATGTACTTATTGACCAAGCGCAATTAAAAACTGCAACAACCAACCTGTGTAAAATATATTTGATTTTACTTTAAACAAGATTATTGTATGTAATTAAGAAATTTAACAATTAAGAATTTATAAGCTATCAATTGAACAGAAAATAAAAACGGAATGTAATTGTTACATCAGATACTTCACAAAATTAACCACATAGAGATATTTGCCCTATACTCATCAGAAATGTAATCACGTAAACTAAAGATACTACCTACCTACCACTCTCATGTTAGTTTAATTAAAGACAAGTCAATATATTCTTGAAGCAGGTCAACACATTATTTCAGAAAATTTAAATTGTTTTTCATAAAAAAGAAGCTATTTATTTATCCATTTCATGGTGACGAATTATTTTATAGTTAAAATGTGGAAACAACTCCTCATTCAAAAACAACATATACGATATATGGTTGGTTTTTTTTTTAAATTACTTTTTACTCGTATTTGTTAGCACTGAAAGAAAAAGCATGTCCGTACCAAACGACATATTAGATTACAGACAATATTTACTTACATTTGATTGTACTTAAAGAAATTTCTTTGAGAAAAGAAGCCGGGGATCTCTTTTTAGATAAATATAAAAATGGGTTTAAAAAAACTAATTTTCCCACAGAACTTTATTTAGACGATGAACAATTTTATTCCTTTTATTTATATTTTAAAATTGTTATGCCGGTGCCTTTATGTGTAAAACATTGTCTTAACATGTTAAAAAAAGAGACAACACAGTCTTGTGTCACTCAGGAATAATTTCGTAGAACATATGCACTTCGGAAATTATCGCGTTATATAGACAGTTCTATCAGCCAATTTTAACAACATAAATGACTTTCTTTACTTCTATGGAATATAAAACAAGGCAATATCAGTAGCTTGCAAATAAAGCTACAACTACCATTTTATATTGACTCATAATTATTTGAGTGGTGAAACAGGTACAACGGATATTACTACAATCAATAGTTAACTCTGGGTTGTTCGTCACCAGTATGTAATACAGATGAAATTAGTTCTAGAGAATGGTCTGCATAAACATGTCATTGGATGTAATTTATAAGCGGTTATGAGTTGTGAAAATCAACTTAATTAAGGGTTGTTTTTTATTTCTAAGCAGTAGACGGAGCAATCCTAGAGTTTGACTTATCACTGCATGTTAACTATGGATAAAATAACATTGTTAATGGTAATATTAAAAGCTCTTGAGACATCGCTTGGACAAACATACACTGAAATGGACTCTTTACTAGGACATCTTTTCAATGAGACAAGATATAACAAATATCTGAGACCTTTAGAAAACCAAAGTCACGTAATTCAGGTAATTATATTGTATATTGTGTGCTACTATTTTTTTCTCATTACTTTTTTATTTCCCTCTATGCAACATGAACTTATTTTTAATAATGTCTTCGAAAGTGCGACGCTAGTAATTTGTCTAGGTCTTAATCGTCATAGTCTTTGACCTGTTCTTAATTATTTATAAAAATTCAGTTGACGGCTTTGTCTATACTTGTAACAAATCTATAAAAAAGCTTAATTTAAGGTGTACAAATTATTTCCATTAAGTTGTAAACACATAAAATCGAAACATTAAAACATCATTATAAAATATATACAATTATCAGAATGATACTCGAAAAACAAAACAAAGTCATCTGGTTATCTGAAACTCTGCAAATATGGGTTTTTCCAGGCTATTCCCCCGAAAAAATCATTTACCATGATAGCTTTACGGTACACTACCGATCACAATAGATAAGCTGTAACTGTAAAAAAATTTGTAATAATTTTACCCCCGGCTTTGCTGGAAAAAATATATTCTTAAGTCCTGAGTAAGTTTATTGTATATAGGTATTTTATTGTTTGTTACATTTTTCCAATTTTAAATAATTTTCCGTCCGAGTGTAATTGCGATATATATGCAAAAACAAATGTCCAAATTCGTTAATTCGTTACAATTTTTCTCTTGATTTTACCCAGTCGGCCACTAATAGTTCAAGTACAAATACAACAGTACATTCATAATTCCAATCGTTTAATTCTATAGACATACAAATACAAATATATGAGAAAAATCTATAAATCCGAGAGCAAAATTTAAATATATGTTTAAGAATGCAAATGCAGGGTTGTAAGTTAAGTTTGTATGTTTAACATTACTAATATCTTAGATATGTGTATATTGTATGTATCGTCAGCTACTGAATTACAAATTCTCACAATTTTTTTTCCATGACCTTTTGTAGGTAAACTTTACACAGTATGTAAAAAGCATTGAAAATCTTGACATCTCGTCAGGTGAGCTTCTAATAACTGGATATTTCGAAATAAAATGGACTGATGAAATGTTGACTTGGGACCCTGCTCTTTTTGGAGGTAGAGAAAAAATACAGTTGCCCAAAGATAAGTATTGGAAACCAGAGATTTCCTTAACAGACGGACCGGCAAATGAGGACACTTCAATTTATGGGAGCGGATTCTATCCCGCATGGGCCACTTACCAAGGGATAGTAATGATCATTGCAGCAGGCAGTTACAAGACGAAATGTATTGTTGACACAACATTTTATCCTTATGATATGCACTCGTGTTATTTTCAGTTCATCGTGTCAAATCATGACTCTACAGAACTTGTGATATCTTCTCCTTCACCCGATATTCATTTTAGTGATTTCAAAGAAAATGGTGAATGGGAAGTTAAGAGTACAGATACAAATGTAATGCTGGTAAAAGAGAAAAACATAGACAATGTGGCTATACCAATGTATCAGTCATCGTTTTTGTTACAAAGAAGGTCTACATTTGAATTGATAAATTCACTTACACCTATCATATTTATGTTATTTCTAAATATTGCAACTTGTTTTGTTCGCCCTGAATCCGGTGAAAGGACAACGTTTGCAATAACGCTATATTTAGCATTAGTTTTTGCAGCAACATCATTAACAGAGACAATACCTAGAAATTCATTAAAAATGCCGATGATTTCGTATCAACTGCTTACGGTTAATATCATCAACACGGTTGGCGTTTTATGGAGCATATTCATTGTTAATTGTGCGAGTAAATCTGCGGCTGCTAGATATCTGCCAACTTTCTACTAAGAATGATTATGAAACGGAGAAAGAAAAGTAAAAATAATTCTACAATGATTCCTGTAGAAGAATCAGCTGTTTCGATATTGCCTGTTGAGGGTACGGATATTAGTGATGGTGACACCACTCCTCAAAAGGAAGGAGTATGTAATGAACTACAATCTGCTAACATAACTGGGCAAGATGTGGCTGAAGTTCTTGATACAATTTACCTTTGGATGATCATTATTTGTATTATTTTAGCAAATGTCATATACAGTGCATTTTTGTACAAAAGTTGGTTCAGTTAGATGCATCAGGGAGTAGTGTTCTTATCGTAAGAAACACGCTCTCTTAGCCAAGTGAGTCGACTGGTCGTTTATCTCTCATCGCTTTTTCATTGGAAGTCGGTAACTTGCGGAAAATTGGTCATTGGATGCTGATAATCCAGGAGAGCCGGTTAGGGGTATATGTCAAAAATTATGTTGAAATCGGCTTTAATAAAACATTGTAAAACAGAGTCAAAAACTGTTCATGTCTATAGTAAAACATATATTACATAAATTATAGAAAAACAATCAAACACGCAACAACAAAAACAACACAAATGTATCTATATAATAACAAATATCCTACTGATAGATTATTCTATTTTAAACAATTTTATAAATTCAATTTCATAAAATGCTAGCATCATTAATAATTTTACTCAAACCATTGATTATTGTTTACTGATTTTCCAGACATATAGTTAATAAAACTTTGTTTTGCCAACACGATTAAATGATATCATTTGAGATGTTTCGTTTAAATCGAAAATATTTGTGGCAAATTTGACACAAAGCGTTTATATTTAACAGTCAATTATCACAGAAACGCTTGGAATTTTAAAGGGAATCCACAGAAGTCTTTCGATATCACGAAACAGGATTTTTTTCGTACCATTTGATGTACGTCTGAACAAATTACTTTTGCGCAAACTTAAAGATCACTAGCTTGGTTCTTTTATTCCAGAATAATTATACCCAAAAGATGAAAAGCGTTTCGACGCTGTTGCTCAAATCAGGCTAAGAATGGCGTAAAAATATGCTTTCAATCTAATTATATATAATTTGCATATCATCTTCTTTTGTAATTGAGCTACGTAAGAATTATGTTTTTGGACCTCAGTATAGTTCCTTGATATTGTCTTCTTTTTAAAAAGCTTATAAATGGGACGATGGTCTTTATTTTGATAATGTTATTTGATTTTTTGTAATGAGTATTCCTATCCTCATATTCCCTTCGCATCAATATTGAATACATACAAAAATGTTTTCTTTGCTATAAAACCCCAATGATTAAACGACTTCGATGTTTGGGCTATATTAATAATAATTGTCTTTTGAAACGATAATTTTCAGATGCCGTTTTTGTGTTGTTTTTTTTAATATTCAATGCTATATTTTGAATAAATATTGCAATGAAACTTTTATCGGTTCATAACAATTGAGGGTCTTACGAAAAAAAATAGCATCAGCTCTGAAAATCAGTCACAATATTTCCATTTAACCAAATTCAGGTGGTGATACCACCTGACATTAATGATTCTAAACAAGCACGTTTTGTCCGAATGAGGTACAGTAAAGACTGTCTTAGCGACCCCCTGTATATAGCGACGTTCTGTCTTTAGTGACCATAGTTAGGTGCGCCGAACAGTATTTACTATATAAATGGTCTTTATGTAGCGACTCCCTGTCTAGTCCGTACAACGACCATGATTTATTCACCCGTTACGGTATTTGAGCCGTGAACAGCAACTTTTGCAAGGGGAGCAAGGCTTGGACTAGGTGACGACTTTGGCGAAGAAGTTGCCTTCGGATCAGCGACTTTGCCAAAGAGATTTTGAAGGCGCCCGATTTCTATGATTTTTCGTCATACTTATTTACGCCGCTAGGTCTGTTAATAATTTGTTTACCTCTCAATTACAACCAATTACAGTTAATCCGCTAATTAAGAACGCGTGTCAACATCAACAAAGTTTAATACACGCCGCAAGGCAAGAGTTCATAGTCATTACGTATTCATGCGATTGACGAATCAGAACGCGCGTTGTATCAACGGCAGTTTGCATTGACCAATCGGCGACACGCTAATACACTGTGGCTGTTTGTTGACAATTACACAAAATGGCGACAGATTCAATCAATTTTCGCCGATAGAATGATTAAAGACACCTGCATATACATGATTACTGCGGTGTTTTGGCGAGTAAAGATAAACAATGCCAAACGTCTTAAAGGTGTGGTTATGTTTGAAACCTCGATTGTTGATTTTTTTCGGAGCACTTATCTGTAGAAAATATGTGAAGATTTGTATCTTATGTTTTATTAATACATTGAACTCCGAAAAGTAACAGGCTGATTATACAAAATTAAATGTCTCTACAGTAACATCTCATTAGTAAAATTGATATTAAACATTTTTTTACAAACAGATTTATCAATATAAATTACACTTTAATGGATATATAACTTTTAAATACTAGTGTTATGGTGTAGTTTATAATCTTAACCAATTATACATGCAATTTTAATACTCTCTTGTTTTTTTATAAATGATATTTGATATGTTTAATATCAATAAAAATATAATTAAACCCTTAGTATGATACTATCCTGCTTTTCAACAAAATATTGGTATGATATGTTCATATATCCGAACTATGTAGAGACTGTCCACAATGACTCCCTGTCTATAATGACCTTTTTTCTTTTCTCCCATCGAAGGTCACTGTAAACAGTCTTTACTGTATGCTTTTATCAATATCGTTGTTTATAAACCCAACTAATTTGATAGAGATAATATACAAAGTACCCTTAATTGTAAAAGCTAACCACGGTATATCAAAATTAGGAAACCCCCTGAATTGTATTTGCGATATTTAAGTACCATTATTCTTCATCACTGTGACAGAGAGATGGGTAAACACGCGGAAATAAAAGCAAGAGCGGATCCCAGCAAGTTCTCTGCTCTTTCTCTCTGCAAGATTAAATTAAATTTAATATAGATTATTAATTAACTATTGCGAACAGACTCAGTTTGATAGAGTATGTTCATGAAGGATGACAGAAAAGTTCATCAGCCCTTTTAAGCCCTGGACGCATCGGTAAACGGTACTCGATCGATCAATGAATCAATGATAGAAGGACTGGAAAAATATAACAGCACTAAAGTGTAGTACGTTGTAACATTTTACAATCTCTATAAGGCACTTAGTGCCTGTTTTTTAATTGCACAATGACATATTAGAAAGAGGGCTGTATTAATACATCATTTAACATTTTGACAAGTGCTTTCACAACAGTATTTGCTGTCGCTTAAACGATTTTTTTTCCATTTTGTATGACAATTATAAGCAATTTTGAAGCAAGTGAAAATATGTTTAAACCATTAGACATTATACAGCAACTCTGTGTATGCAAAGCACTTATTGAATACAATAATGTGTTTAATTTTATAACGTCTAGCTCATTGTTATAACTAATTATGGAAGATAAAGAAAATCGTTGTTTTCCATGAAATGCAATCATAAAAAATGCCTATTCGACAATAAAAAATAATTTATTTAATACTATTACAGATATCTAGAAAAGTCTTTTATAAAATGACAACTTACTCTATAAGCATAACATGCAATGAAAGATGATCAACATTTTCAATGTTCGTTACTTATTTTTAGAATATTTTGAATTCCTGCCTTCAATAAACATGATGAATTGTTCACTGAACACTTTTTTTCTATTTTTCATCATATAGAAAAAGATAGATCGTTCGGTTTGCCTAGCCACAAAATAAAAAAGAGAAAAAAAATGAAAACAAACAAATAACAGTGCTATATAATTTGTTTTTCTATACATGTATTTTAATCACTGGTGTTTTGTTCTGTACTGACGAACTCCTCTGATTTTCAACCAAATACAGAACAGATTTCTTCACAAGCAAACATTTTTAATAAAAATATCTAAACGATTTTCTAATAAGTCTTTTGTTGATTATATATACCGCCATACAACTCGTTGACAATGACGTATATTCTCTCTTCAAGTACTTCTTAAACATGAAAAAAAATCAAAAATTTCATACGCCTTCATATAATTCAAAGGTTTGAGATCGGGGAAAGAAACAATGCAGTTATTATTTAAAATATTAAATTAAATATATGTGTGAGTGCACACATGAAATTATTTTGACGTTATGTACTAGGCGTTTAAATTAAATGCCAAATTATGTAATATTTTTCTAAAAAATTTAATATCACTTTCTCCTGAATTTACTTAGGCAAAATACCTTTGGAAGACCTTGGGTAGGTTAGACCATCTGTTGACATTTCTAAATTCAGAAAAGAAACGTTGTTGCGCGAATCTTTATTCAGACGAAACTGATTTATTATTAAAGATTTTTCTATTTGAGCAGATGGATAATGAGAGGGTAATATCATTTTGAGTACGCTCTCGTTCAACAATTATTTTGAATTGCAGGATACACAAGCTTTGTAACTGAAAGAGTTTAACTCCGCATTGATTTACTAAGGGTGCAATTGAATAAAAGCTATGCAGGATGCCCAAGGTGACATTGTGTTCTTCGAACGATACCGATAAATTTCGAAGAATATGTATTAAAGTTTCTTCTGTTCATGTGAAGAAGGAAAACGGTTGTAACTTGTGCCTGAAATAAACACGAGACAGAAAATAACAGAGAGAATTAACTGTGACAACTGAACTGCGTATGCACACAGCAGAAAGTTGGTGTTTGACTCGCATGAGTGTTCTCCGTTTTTCACGATGTAAATCAATGACAAACAAGTCATAATGATAGGTATTGTCCAGTTGAGAAGTGTCCATATTTTGACGTGTTTGTTCGTAAGTAAGTAATTGTAACGTAATGGTGAGATGACTGACACTGCTCTATCTGCTGCTATATGGGTTAACGTTGCCCAATACACCGTTTGGCAAGTCCGAATTATCGTTATTCTTACAGCATGTACAGAGATACTTGGAGAGGCGAACATTGCAAGCTGATTTATCCCTATACATAATGAAATTACTAAGTCGCTGGCAAGAAAACTTATGTTTGTACATTTTATTTTGAATGGTATCCGTTTACATTTAATCATTAGCCATAAAGGGACGATTTGAACTAAGGTGACGATAAAGTATACGCAAGATATAAACGTCCCGATAATCTCACTGAACATAGCTACTTATGTCAAGTGTTGTAAAGTCTTTTCCAGTTTTATTCCTCAGTAACTAAACATTTCCGAATTAGAGACACATGTCCTTCATTGATGTCAATCTTTTTCATATAGTTTTCCTCATGCACGCTAACCATTTAATGCATTTACAGCATTTCTTTTCAAGCACTTTTTGAAAACAATTATTATGCATTGTCTCAGCTTTTTTCGGTATGTTTTGTATTGTCCAGCATTTTCACAGTGGTTTCAAACTGTTTCTCAATTCTGTGTTCCTGTCTTCTCCAAGAGATAGAATTATTGTCTTTAAGTTTGTTTTGATGAATAAAGATAAACTTGAACACTTTCTTTTTATCTCTTCAGTAAGTCTTAAGTATGATTATAAAAGTAACACAAGTATTGTAATAATGTAATATTTTAAAAGAGCTCTTTTCTTTCTTCGACATTTACTATTTATTCCAAAAATATCATTTATCTTGAAATTACAAATTAAATGTATCAAAAATTGTTGCTATTATATTCTGTTTTGTAGACACGCTATTTGTATTGTTGAAATAATTATTTGGCTCGTGGTTATGTCCTGACACATATTATACAAAACAAAGCCATATTAAAAGCAAATAGCGTACAAGATACAAATATTCCCCATCAACACACTATTGTCTTCTCAAAGTCAAGATAAGAATGAATAAAGGAAAACCA